AGGGAGTCTGCTTCTCCCTCTGACCCTCCTCCCTCTCATGCTCTCTGTCTCTCATTCTCTCTCTCTCAAATAAATAAATAAAATCTTAAAAAAATAAATAAATAAAGCCAGTGTACCGTGTGATTTGGCTTCCACAGAGGAAGAGTTTCCAGGATTGCCAGATCTCCTGCTTCTTAGATGGGGAAAGTGTTAGTCATTCAGCTCTGTAGCACTCTCCCTCTGGGTGTCAATTCAGAACCATTGAGCTTTTTCAGATACAGTGACCAGGAAAGCAAGTCAGTCATCACAAGCAATAGAAGCTGTGGGTCAAATGTCACTGACTAATCATCCTGTTATTGGTCAATTACCCATCCTCATGAAGAGGTGCCACTGATTCAGTTTCCTATCAATAAATGTCTGTCTGGGCACATCAGCGGCTGCTAACCACGGCCTGCCAGGGTATCCAGCATCGTCCACAGGCATTGGTGGTTAAGAAATCCCTCTCCCTTTCTTCTTAATAATGTCACAGAAGAGGCAAATGCAGATCCTGACAACATAATGTTAGTTTCACAGAGACGTGTCTCTTTGAGTGCTCAGCCAGTTTTACAGGGCTTCAATTGCATGGATTTTCTCACTGCAAAAACAATAGCTGGGCTTAAGGAAGTTTGGCGGCTCAGATATACAATTCTGCCTTTGGTTGTGCTCATGCTCATTACCGCCACTCGGAGTCCTGGAAAGAAAAAATAGTTTGGGGGAGCCATTTTCATTCCATATTTAAAGACAGCCAAGTGTTCACTGTTCTCTCTTGCTTTAAGCCCCAGTGACACCTTTTCCTGGGGTCAGATCGAATATCTATGATTGTTTGGGTTGAGCTAGAGGTCAAGGTGGCCTGGCCACACAAAGAGCCTATTTGTCCCACTCTGAGTTGTCACCTTGGTGGTGACCTCATGTGTTCCTGCTGAATCTAAAATTCTAGATCTCCTACTGTACTTGCTATCTTGACAGACTACCTCATCTACACATTTGATCTGTCAAGGGACGCTTATTCTGAGTTGCTACAGGCTTTATACGGCAGGGGAGGCTGAGAGAAGACAGCATGTAAACGACTATAATACAAGTACGACAAATGCTCCAGTAGGAACTACGTACAGAATGTGTGGGGATCGCCGAAGACGGAGGTCTGAATCCACCCAGGAGATAACGGGAGGTGAGGGAAGCACTCCCGGAGGAGCGGAGTCCTGGAGGGGGAGTAAGAATCAGGTAGGAAAGAGGTGATGGGAAGGTCGTGAGAGACACCAGCAATGAGAACAGTAGGTTCCAAGAGTTGAAGGCATAGAGGTGAGAGAGGAGGTGAGAGAGGGGTGGCGTGTGCAAAACTGCAAGTAGCTGGATAGGCTAAGCCCGGCACGTGTAGGGGTGGAGAGAGAAGCAGGTGACAAGGCTGTGTAGACAGAAGCAAGTCAGATTGTTCTTAAACGCCTTTGTCCGAACTTTCTCCTGAAGGGGTGTGACCACATCAGATCTGGGGTGGGGAAATGGCTGCAGGTGGGGAAGGACGGGCCAGATGGAAGTCTGGCCGACCAGGTGGAGAAGAGAAACAACAAAGGTACAACTGTGGTAATGGCAGTGGGGATGGGGAAGAGCAGAAGGCTTTCTGAGGCATGTGAGAGCCAGTACTGACGGAACTGGCTGAGGTGGGGAGGTGAGGGAGAGGGGGACATTTGGGAAGACTGCCATGGTTGTGGCTCAGTCTATGGATAGATGGGCGGTGCCACTGAATGAAACGGGGGAAACCTTAAGGTGACTTGAGCAGAGGAAGGGGGGGATAATGGGATTCCATTTCTGACATGTTGGTGTGAGAATCACATGTAGCACTGCTGGCGTTGGGGGTAGAGTGCCAGGTAAGCAGACAGAATGCAGGGAACATTAAAAGAGAGCGGGAAGAGCTACTAAGCTGTCAGTTTGCTTCCGTCTTCATTGACGCAAAGACTGGTCTTCAAATTAGAAATGGCAGAACAAACATAATAAAGAGAAAACTGAAGCCCCAAATAGGTGCAGTGAAAGAAAGAGAGTATCTAGTCAATTTAAATGATTCCAAGTCTCCTGGCTCCAGTGAGTTACACCCCACGCCTGCTGAAAGAAATTGCAGATGTAATCTCAGAGACACGATTGGTAATCTTCAAGAAACTGTGAAGACTATAAGGAGTGCCAGTGACTGGAGAAGGACAACGGTTCCCCAGATTTGTAAAGTGAAGAGGGATAGACTGTAATGGGAAATATTTAGATAAATTTCACACCATCTATGGCAAAAATCCTAGAACGGCTTAAATAGATGGCCTAGGACTGCTCTAGTTAACGAATGCAGCTGAGAAAAAAGGAAGGATGGAGTCTTGTTTGCTATCTGACGGAGGTTTATCTGCACCGGTAGCTTGCCCAGACTGACTGTGGCTTCTCTTTCCCCCTCCTGAAGCACCAAGCTGGTTTGTCTGGTCCACAGCATGAAGCCAAGGCTTCTCTATCTGTGTGATTGGTTGCCTATGTTACTCAACCCGTATGTGGCCCTTTATGAAAAGGGGTTGACAATTTAAATAAAGAAATCCACAGTCTGAATTCTCCCAGAAATCCAGCATCACTCATCAGGGTGGCCCCTGGGGATTGGCAGGCCGCAATAATCTCTGTGATTATTAGCCTAAACATCAATAAACCTTTGCCTATTAAAATCCTACTACCTCATTTTTTGTGCTTTTTCTCTCTATACACAATGACTTTAACATGAGAACAGGGAACAACAGAGCAAATGTGGTGGAACATGATGGTGGGGGGAAGGCAGTCATGTCCCACCGATATCCCCACCCCTGGCAGTCTCAGATATCATGTAAAATACCTTATCTACTGTTAAACATAAATATATAACATAAATATATATACATTAGTCTTTCAGAGACCTCCTTGGAACCTTCAGAAAAAAGGCAAAAAAAGGGCAGCCTATTCAATACCCACATGGCTCTCTTGAACTACAAGTATATCCTCTGGGGAATGTCACCAGTCTCACATTTTAAAATTACATGAGCCCAGAAATCAAGCAATGTTGGGTCAAAATTCCTTTCTGAAAACAAGACAAAATGAAATGAAAACCACCACCCAAAACCCAGATTTTCATTAAGAAGATTTCTTTTGTTAGTACCAGGTCTCATATTCACATATTTGGTTCCGATGTAAATTTATTGGAGTTGAAAATTAGTTTTGATTCTATATAACCTCTCCTGACATTATCCTCTAAGTCCCTAGCCAACACAAACTGAGACTGAAGAAGGAGGTGAGCCATAACCAGGGAGAGGCCTCTAATCTAGTCTCGCTGCAAGTCTAATTTTGGTGTATCCTCCCACCAGAAGATCCAAACAGGCACCCTGTATCTCCTTGTTCCTCCCCCTTCAATATTTAGAGCAAAGAACAGAAATGTATCTTCACTGAAGTTCCAAAACAGAATTTGCACGTGTGTCTTCCATTTCAAAAGTAACGAATGGAAAGGAATCTTCTTACCGTATTGACCCGATCATGTACGGCTGTGCCAGCTGAACCACAATTGCACCACTTCCCAGCTGATGACACGTATAGCCAGAATCCCAGTCATAATTCTTGGTGTCGCCATTCAGCAAGGCATTTCGGCTCCGACTGACTCCTTCAATCACACTGGCACAATCAGCAATTGTTGCAACATTCTCCACGGGAACTGTGAGCCCAACACAAGATTCAGCATCAAGATAAGGGAAGCCAAACATATCCTGATAGTGTGCTATGAACAAAATGAATTACTATCTCACATCAATGATAAAGGGGAAATTAGAACATCTTGATTATCTCAAGACATGAACACATTTTCCATGCCAAATTGCTTCAAGAAAAAAAGTTGAATCTAAGATTGGAACAAACCAAACCACATGTAGTAATTAACCCTGAAGTATCTTACTATTAAGAACCATGATATCCCATAAAATACAGAATGGATAAATACATTTCAAAATATTACTACAATGGGAAACTACACATTAACTGACCTTAATGAACTACAGTTATGTACAAACAGATGAATCGAAAACCATAATGTTGTTTTCCCAATAAAAAAAAATCTTGACTTCCAAAAAACCAAAAACCCAAAAAACAAGAAAAACACACAATGTTGAGGGAAAAAAGCAAGACACAGAAAAACACAGATTATGAGTTCATTTATACAAAGTTTTTAAAAAGGCAGAACTAGAAATATGCTTTGTTTAGGGGATACATACATAAATGTAAAACTAAAAAGGAAATCCAGGAAATGATTATATAAAGTTCAGGATAATGTGTCTGGGAAGAGGGGGCTGAAATCTTGCAGGGACTCCCACCAATGGGTCCAAATATTAACTGGTTTCATTTCCAAGAGGAAATCTTGGGAGGACTTCAAAAGTACTGGTTTTGTTCTGTTTTTAAGCCAGGTGGTGGGTACACAGGCGCTTGTTTTATTACTATTCTCTAAACTGTATGTACTTGTTACATTCAGTAAATATCATAAATCTGTTTACAGAAACATGATATACACATAGATTCAGTGTTTTAGAATTCATAAAGCAGGAAGATGATCTAGGAAATGGTACCAATCCCTTTTCAAAATACACTGTTGCCCTCAGCCATGACTTGTTTCCCTTTTTTGTTTGTTTGTTCACTATTCCAGGCATTTCAACACAGAAGGCTTTTCTCTATTGTTCATGAACTGCTATACTTTGAAACACCAGTTCTGTTTTGATTTTGAGTCTCTCTCTCTACTTCAAATCCGTATCAACCTGTTCATTTTTAAAGCCAAGGGCTTCCACAAAATGATAGCTATCTAAAAATGATGTAGATTCTCTAACCATGGAGAAGAGAATAATAAAAGGTAAGGGCCTTTTAAGTCCCTGGGACCTTTTCTGTGCATTTTCCAGTGTTGGGGTTTTAATTTAATTTATTATTCAACCCAAGTCTACAATTAGGCCCAGCTACTTACCTTCAAGATTTCCAACTTACTTTATATAATTTTAAAATAGGTTGGAAAAAAAGACAATTTCTCATTAAATATATACTGTACTTTTCAGTATAATATTATATACTCTCTGAAGAGAGTGGGTGAGCAGTACTACCTCCATGCCAAAACATTTCTACCTTGATAATGATGTGAAGTACATAATCTTACATGTATCTTCTACACGATGTATTTATTTTCCAAAGCTGGGCATGCCTGACTTGGGCCCTCATCTTCTACAGCTTCACTAACTGCTTTGCTCTCTGCAGATGAGGAAGCCATCCACAGATAAAAAAGGGAGAAGGGGAAGGAGAAAGGGAGAGAGGACGGATTTCTGGTGACGAATCCCTTGACTACCAAGCTTAACTCCAAAGCAACAAGCAAACACACTAGTGAAATAACCTCTAAGGACAGTTTCCTGGCAGAGAAGGAAGGGGCTCAGAAAGAAGTTCCCCAGGACTTGGAAAGACAAGGAAGGACTATATTTGGAGGCTAAGTCATGGTACCTCTATTTCATGGAAAAGGGGGAGTACTGGGTGATTTGGAAGGTGGAACTTAAGGAAGTGGCACAAGGTGCACGGTAAATTGAACTGAGACATAAAATAATACCGTAGATAGGAGCCTAGGCTGCAGTAACAGCCTCCATTCTCCCTTCCACAGTGCACGTTTATTTATATATTTATGTATTTATGTATTTATTTTTTTGTGCACCCTATGTATTCAGTGATGATCAGAAAAGTGGTTCTGCTCACTGTATCAGCCAAGGGCCTGAGTGACAGAGGCTTTGTATTCATATGAATTTCCTCAGTTACAGCAGCAAAGAGAAGAAAGAGAGCTGAGTCCTGGTTCTTAAGACCTGTCCCCCAAAGTAACACACATCACCTCTCTCATGTTCGGGTGACCAAGGCAAGTCACAGGGCCTTGCCTAACTTCAAAGGGGGTGGGAAAGTGCAATCCCGTTGTGTGCCCAGGAGAAGAAAGGAGAATGGTTGGTGAACAATATTAACATTTACCGCAAACATTAAACCAGGACGAAGGAACATTCAATAGAAAGATAAATCTAGTCCATTCATGTAGGGTCTATAAAATATTTCAATCCATAAACATGCCAAAATTGATTTATCCAGTCTCCCGCTAAGGGACGTTTTGATTGTTACCACTGTTTTCTTTGCAATTACGAACAAAGGAGTCTGTGTACATGGTAAGAGTTTCTTAAAGGAACACATAAGATATTATACATGTATATATGCATGAATTACACTCATGGCTATCAGTTACCTTCAATTTTCCTGGATATTGCCAAATTATTCACCAAAGTAGTTATAAAAATTCACACTCTCAACTCATTGCTCCACATTCTTACCAACTCTTGGTAATGCCAGACAGATGAGTGTGACATGATATCTTAATGTGGTTTTAGGTTTTTCATTTTTCTATTTGGTGAAGCTGCACAGTTTTTTTCTTTTTCTCTCCTCTGGAATCATTCACCTTTCTTCTGTAAACTACCGATCTTTACCTCTTGTCTATTTTTCTATCATCTTTTTAATTGATTTGTGGGATGCCAATCTTTTGTTGGTTAATGTTGAGATGAAATATTAATCTTTTAAGATTGGTGCCTTTCCTTTCTTGTTTATAAATTCTTTCCCACCCTCAATTCCTAAAGATATTGTCCTGTATTTTATTCTAAAAGTTCTCAAATTTTGCTTTTTACATGTGGTTCTTTAATCTATTTAGAATTTATTTTTGGTATACTGTGTGTGACACAGAAAATCTACTTCCATCTTTTATTCTTAAGATGAGCCAATTTCACCACCACCATTTAATGAACTCCTGCCCCACTAACTTGTGTTATTTCACTCACACACAAAATTTTTATAGATGTTCATCTTTTTAAGATCTATGCTATGTTTCACTGATTTGCCTAGCCTTGTGCCTTTACCATGCTATAAACTATAAGTTTATAGTACTCTTAAAATCTGATAAGTGAACACCTTTGTTCCCTCACCTTCCCATTCCTTTTTTCTTCCAAATTGTCTTTGATATTCTTGGCCCTTTGGGAAAAATTTTCATTTTATCTACCCTTTTAAATATAGTGGCATAAAAATTTTCATAGTATGTCCTCTTTTTCATCCCAAATATTTGTATTTGTACCTTTTCTTTCTTTTTTGATCAGTCCTATATAGCTTGTCTTGTTTATTAGTGTTTTCAAAGGAGCAACTTTTGGTTTTGTTGATTTCTTTTCTTTATTTCCTACTTCACTAAATTCTGCTCTTCTTTTTATTTTTTAATTGTTTATTTACTTTGGGGGGGAGAGCATGCGCATGCGTGAGTGTGGGAGGGCGGGCAGAGGGAGAGGGAGAGAGACTCTCAAGGAGGCTCCACGCCCAGCACAGAGCCAGACATTGGGCTGGATCCCAGGCCCTGAGATGAAAACCTGAGCGGAAATCAAGAGTCTGACATTTAACCAACTGAGCCACCCAGGTGCCCCTCCTCTTATTATTATTATTTCTTCCTTCAATCCCTTTTAAATTACTCTGCTTTGTTTTCTAACCATCTGAAGTGAAACTCATTAACCTTTCGTCTTTTCATACAGTCAAAACTTATTTATCCACACTTAACCAGTTTATTCACCATTACTATTTTTTATATCCTCCTTTCTTCTTGGTACAACTTCCTTCTTTCTAAGACACATCCATTAGTATTCAGCAAAGTCTCTGTTTGAAAGTGCATTTTGCCACCACTCTTGAAAAGTAGGTTAATTGATATGGAACTCCTGGTTAAAAGCTGTTTTTCCTTAGCACTTTGATGGTATTATTCCATAGTCTCCTGGCTTCTACTGTCAAGTCTGCTAAAGTCTGCTATCCCTCTAACTTGTAATTATTTTTTGCCTACAGTTAATTTTAAGTTTTTTGTTTTTGTTTTTGGTGTTTCGCAATTTTACTAAGTTGTACCTAGAGGTAGATTGAATTTATCCTTCTCAGGACTGAATATGAGCATTTATGGCTTTTATCAAGTCTGGAAAATTTTGGCCATTATTTCTCTGAATACCAATTCTCCCTCCTTTTCTTCTCTTCTTTTTTTCTTCTCGAACTCCTACTGGACCTCCATTGGAACTTTTCATTCTATCCTCCATGTTTCTTAACCTTCCTTTCATTTTTCTCTCTGTACCTCTTTTTGAAGCATTCTAGGCAATTTCTTAATTCAAATTACTATTTGTATTTACTCATTCCCTTTAGGTGTGTCTAATCAGCTGTTCAACCTGTCCACTGAGTTACTGAAATTTCACTATTAAACAAAAACTATACAGTATTGAAAAATAAGTGAACTAGGGCTATGTGTATCAACCAGGGTCGGTCCCACAAAGAAAACTGGTTAAGGAAAGAGGAAGTAAGGAAAAACCATGAAATATGATTCCACTTCTGTCATTTAGTGATACATGCTTGTGTGGTGAGATCAGGAGGGAAACTCAGGGAATGGTGAACACTGAAATTCAGGAAGAGAGGGGGGAAGCCACCAAGGGAGGGGTGCACACAGGGCTGTAGAGGTTTGGGAGTCTTCTCTTCAGTGTAGTGGTTAGCATGCCAGTGCTCCTATTCCCCAAACTTCACATATATGCCCTTTATATTCATTTGTACATATGGAATTCTGTGGGTTTTTACACGTTTCACACATTTTAACACTGTTTTTATGAAAACCAG